TCATATGAATAAGAAATTTTTTAAAAGCAATTTTACGTTAAACGACGAGTATTTAAATTATTTTTTATTTACTTTCATTATTAAAATTTCATTGTCAAACTTTTTGGCATATGGGTGAGTTACTTTCGGGATCAGTGGAGTTAATAAGTTTTTACAATTAAGAATAAAAATATGACCCATAATTTAAACGCTTTTAAGTATTACAATGCTGAGGAGAATTTATTTTTACTCTTACATTTTTATTTAATACTTTTCAAAGGAATTAAGTTTTAGATTTTATCATTTAAAATTTAATAAAAATCTTCATATTTTTAAGTTATTTTAATTTTAACCACAATACTTTCGTTATCTTGCAAAGAGAATTCTTTTGTTTCTCATATTCTATCTATCTTTAGTAAGATAATGCTTTAAACGTATGATTTTTGAACTCATTCCAGCACTTGTCAAATTTTGACATTTTGACTTTCTGCATTTTCCACACCGACTGATTCTGACAGACTTCCTTTGAACTTTTAATTGTACAAAAACGTTCATCTTGGCGCTTCAAGAATACCTGCGAATACTTAAAGCGAGTCACTTTCATGTTTCTCCTGAGATAAACCGAATAATCCGAGCCTGCAGTACGCATTTAGATGTGAAGGATTTAACCATTGAAAGCGATTCATTGAAGTGAATAATTAATGTTTTATTAAGCATTTTGCCGCTTTTATTATTTTTCATAACAATCAAACCGAAATAACAAAAAAGAGGAAACCATGATCAACATCAATTACATTGTTAATTCACTCGGAATAATGTGTACTGCTTTCATAATTATTTTTATTTGTCATGATTCATTATGGGATCTGTGAACTCAAAATTACTTTGACATGTACTTAAACCATTCAATGAGCTTCCATTCAATTTTTGTTAAATAATGCATTTAAATAATTAAAAATTATGAATTTGGAAACAATTTAAAAAATACGAGTATGACTAATAATAATAAAACTGTCTTTAGTAAATAATAATAGTAGTAATAAAATGACACTGAATGAAAACTTTAAATGGGACAACTTTAAAAGGCACGGCTACTCTAATAAAAGATGAAAATCGAATGTGGTCATTTGTATCTACTAAGGGTTGAGTACACAGTCTAAACACTAGTATCATAAAGAAGATTAGAATGGAAAGTATTTTCCATACAATACCCAATCCATTATTTAGTAACAGTCAATGTGTATACTACATAAGCTGAAAAGTCTCAAAGTTGACATATATAATGCACCTATATCGAAAAAGCAGAAAAATAAACTCTTACCACATTATATAAATTATAGTGGTATGGTTGAACCAACAGGAAGCGTTGAGTAAATAGATTTTAAATTGGATGCCACCTTTGCTCCCAGTTGACTATAGACATCAATGTAATCACGATTCAAAGTGCTGTTTCCGGATGACTGAGCGAAATACAAAAAAATTTTCTGTGTAGTTATATGATAAGAGATTAGATCTAAACCAACATACGTGATAATAGATGACGCATGAATTCACCTAACCTATGTGATAATAGATGACGCATGAATTCACCACATCACTCCAGAATCAAAACGACAATCAGCTAACTGAATAGCAACCATTGAAAGTCATCCAAAGCGACCAAGAGCGCAACAGTGGGTTAATAAGGTTTTGGTGTCTGTATCTTGGACTCACGTGATCGTCTGGTAACAGTCGTAACAGTCGGTTAATAAGGTTATGGTATCTGTGCTTTGGGACTCACGTGGTCTGGTAAGGCTATCACATCCGCAGTTTGAAATGTGCATGATACAGACTTTAAAAAAAAATGAAAAATCACCAATTGAATCTTATATATATAATTCTTGGTACATTTAAGGTACGCGAAAAATAGGCTCCAAATGAAGAAGAAAGAATGTGCTCTTTAATTAAGATAAACTACCTCAAGTCAATAATATTAATAATAGGTTCAAGCAATAATCTCAATTATGTGATATAGGTATATATAAAATAGATTGTAATGTAATGTTTAAAATTAAAATTAAAATTAGTTTTCAAGATTCTAAAACTTATTATTGGGCTAAGACATAATGTTCAATTAAAGAAACAAAAAAAAAGGAGTTTTCGTCTTTATCGATACACCCTTCCTACTCTGGTAAAAATAATATACTGTCAATGAAGTAGTTTTTTAAAAACCTATTTCTTCTGGACGCCAAAGTCGGGCATTCACAGAGAAAGTGTTTTATGGTTTCTTCTTCATGCAGATTTCCACAACTTGTTTCTCTGCATGGGTTTCTATACATCTAGGACCAGAAAGAACTGCAGATTATGTATGTTCATTGGACTAATGGATCTAAGCGAATCCGATCGCCATTATAACCTAAACTCATTTGAATATTTTTAAAATATTTTTATCTTACCTGGAGCGAAATTTTCTTAACGTAGATATGATTGAATAAATAAAAATTATTTGATATTGTAATTTTTGATTAGTTTGCCCTTTGGATATGAGGTTTTTTTTTGTTTTGATGATTGAATACAGAATTTATTTGAATAATTTAATAATTTAATACTGTAAATATTAACTAAACTTTTTCTTTTTTTTTTTGTGTGATGATTGTATTGTCTTTAATACAAAAAGCTGCATTAATTGAGCGATTTTCCGCAACAAAAGCTCAATTGGGAATTCATACCTCGGGTGGAAATAACTTAAAATCCTGATTACAAAAAAACCGAGAGCGGTAAAAAATGAAAAATGAACGAAAAAATATTCTTAAATTCGGCAACAATCAATTCGATCAATGCACATTTCATATTTCACACAATTAGCATTTTTGGGTAGCTTTCGAAAAACAATGCAATTTTATAAAATTTAAAATTCATATTGTTCATACGTGAAATGTTTCGACAAACGAACAAAGGAATAATGTGAAAAATTCATATGAAATATGCTTAAAAGGATTTATTTGTACTCCTTCTTGTTACCCGCAAAGGAAACAAAACCAAACAAAACCAAACCAAACAAAATAAAAAACAAAACGAAAATACCTTAAAATCCTATCGCAGGACATAACCGTGTGCTAGTCAACTCAATGAAAATAAAACAAAAAAAGAAAAAAACAACAAATTGAAATTATTAAAAAAACATTAAAAAAATGGAAAAAATTATTTAAAAAACAGGGAAAAATAATAAAAAATTGTTTTCGGCATATAAAGCGAGTGCGACTTCGAGAGTGAGTTCGAGTTCGAGTGTATGTTAAATGTCCTTAATATTAATGTCTACATGTGTATTGGTTTGTACTCATAAGCTCTACATACTACAATATAAAACATATGAGTTTGAGTGTATGTGTGTTGGAGTATGTTTTTTGTGGGGGGCGTACGAAGGCACAAATGGCACCGCATAAATCTCAAATGAATACCAACACCAATAACAGAAGGACACTTTTCATATTTGTATGCATTGATTTCAAAATGTTATTGAATAAAACTATGGCAGCGCAAGCGGGGAAGGGTGGCTTGGTACTTGGTTAAGGCTCGCTGTGGACGTGGCAGTCGATATTTTTATGTGTGTAGTATATATTTTAAAAAATGTAAACAACGTGTATAAAATGATATGTGCATTAAAAATATGTTCGAATGGAGCTAACATTCGAACAACCAAGCGAACGTACGCCACTAGTTCGTTTAAAATGGAATTTTAAAAATGCAGTCACCTGGAAAAACGTTTTCTTTTTTAATTTTTATTCCTTTTCATAGTTTTTCCCTCGCACTTCTTTCACTCGTAATGTCGTAATGTTTTTTAAAAAGATAAATGTTATTTTTATATGCAACCGTTGGATTGCTGTTCGAACGGAATACATATGCTCAATACATTGTATTCAAATAGATTGTCGTTCAAATAGGTTTCGTCCTTTTATTTTTATTCGCTCTGTGTGAAAATTATGCAAAATTATACGAGAAAAATATTGCTGATGAGATATTTTGAAATTCATACATACTTATATCAAGAAAAATTAAGATTTTTAAATAAAAATTATTTTTTTTCTTAGCTTTGCAATCAGACTGAAAACGTTTCACATTATTATTATTATTTTTACTTTTGTTTTATATGAACTATGTCAACTAAATTTTATTTATAATAGAACATCAATGTAATGAAACACATGACCTCTTTAAGCTTTTGTATAAGAAGAATATCTAGTATAAACTTATAAACTCTTCAGCTTTTTTTTGTAACTCAACATCAGAACTTAAAATGTCTAATAGCGTTTTCGATTAGTAAAAATGGGGTGATTATTTAAATCCAGATACTCCTTTAATGTACTTTTAGTGCAGTTTTCATTTTCGATTGGTAAATGAAAAAATTCCGAATAGTAACACTCAGGATTACTTTATAATACTCTAGATATCTTGTAGCAAGATTACCCTGAAATTGACATCTGTTTTATAAAATTCGTCAGTTAACTGAGATTTGATTCGATATATGTATTTATAAAAAATATAAATGTCTACTAACACTACTACAAAAATAATGTATTATTCTAAAAATTCTAGAGTAAATCTATAAATCTATATATATATAATGTATGCCTTTCATTCCCTTCAATATTCTTAAGCCTGGGAGCCATATGAAAGTAATATCGGAAAATTTGTTTACTACACCAATTTCTGCTTTTCTATCTCCAACCAGAATTGATTTCAACCTACACCACAGTGCTGACCTACACCACTAAAACTCAAAATTTAACCCAATGAACGTAATCTCCAAAAAAATGTAGATTTCTGGAGCTGCTTTAGTATACTATAGATAGATTTTAGGGTGAGCTAAACGTCTACCTCTCATTCCCTTTAATATTCTTATGCCTGGGACCCCACATAAGACTGAAATATAAGGCATACTTGTTTTTGCTTTCCTATCTACTACCGGCATTGATTCCAACCTAGAAACATGCTGGCCTACACCACTGAAATTTAAAATTGATCCAATGAAAGTGTCGCAAGACAATTATACTACTATATTGTAAAATCAAGAAATGGTTTAAAATTTGTGATGACATAAAATTTTATGGAGACGATCTTAAAAAAGAAGTTTAACTTGTTGAGTATCTTAATTATTGTGATGATGATGGGTTATTTAGATTTGTTAGATTTTAAAAATCAACTAAATTAAGAATTAATATAATATATATTTGATTTAATGAATAAATATATTTTTTATTAAGTAGTAAAATTCTCTTACCATTTTTTTTATTTCATTTTTTACTTACCGTGACAAAGTAACTATCTTTGTCTTGGATGTGAAAATTTGAATTAGTACATATATATATTATAAATCCTTAAAAATAATTCTGAATATTTCTTTGGGTGCTGAAATATGAGAAGTGAGGAAAGTATCACTATCAGATTTAAACACACACTAATAGAATACTCTAAAAGCTATCCTTTAAGTATTGAATCCAAGGGGCACAATAGACCCGAAAAATAATATTTGAACCCAAACAAAACTACTATAAAGTGATAAAGGCAAAACAGAGAAACCATACTTATATATATAAGAATTTATTTCATATATAAGTATAAGTAGAAGAGTTGAACTCTTCTGGGTGTCTCGAATAAGAAGAGTACTGAGTTCCACTTAAAAATCCGAATACGAATGAACAATGAATTGAGAAAATTATATAAATATTAATAATTAATAACAGCAATATAAATTTATGGACTTTATTTTAATCCTTGAATAAATTTTAATAATTTTTTAATTTAATTATAAATTATGCTTTAATAAAAATTGAAAATTTATAAAAGAACAGCATATATAAGTATGGCAATGGCAATATATATAAAAAATTTTACTTAAAATAGCATTAAAATTTATATAAAAATATTATTTTTATTAATAAAAATATTTTATCTTTTTTGATTTTCAGTTCTGGGAAATCATCTCAGATGAACATGGCATCGATCCCAATGGCATGTATCACGGCGAAAATGATTTGCAATTGGAACGCATTGATGTCTACTACAATGAGGCTAACAATGGCAAATATGTGCCACGTGCAGTGCTTATCGATTTGGAGCCCGGCACAATGGATTCAGTGCGCCAATCGGCCATGGGTATGCTTTTCAGGCCGGACAATTTTGTATTCGGACAATCAGGCGCGGGTAAGTGAAAATCGTTGTCGCGCCATTTTGTTGTGTGCGTAAAATATTTAAAAAGCTCTCGGCCAACATGCAATGGCGCCTTTATGTTGCCACTACTGTTGTAATTCCACTTAGAGTTGTTGTTGTTGGTGTTGTTAAACCAACAGTTGTAGCTCTAGTTGTAATTATAGTTGTAGTTGTTGTTGTAGTGTGTTGTAGTTGTTGCAAGTGCAACTAAATATAATTAGGGTTCTGTATTTTGGAATGATGTGACATTGTGTGTTGGGTAATTGATTCGCTGTTGGATATCGAATCTTGTTAAGTGGTCAGGATTAGAAAGATCTTAGGATGAATTTTAACTTAAGTAAAGGTTATATGTACAGCCACATTTCCAAGGATGTAAAAACTTTAAAGGTATTTTCACTTGAATTAATATTGAACGTTTGTAAAGTAGGAAAAGATCCAAAAATTTAATTTTAAAAATCAAATAATAAATAAAAACATGAAAAAATATTAAACGTATATCTTAAAGTATTATCTATTATTATCTATTATTATTAGAAAACAGATCCTATTAAATCTATTATTATCTATTATTGTGAATGTTTTTATCATAATTCTTAATAAATTATTTGAGCGTCATAAGCCATAACACATGAAATTGACACCTCAGGTTTTAGTGACTAATTAAGTATTCAAAAAAGATCCCAAAATCTACTCTGAAAACTTATTATCATCCCATTTTTTGATAATCTCATTTGTTTGAGTAATTAGAAGAGCTCATGATCAATTAAAATCATGTTTGCCCCTTTTTTATCTTAAAATTCAGCCATTTTATTATTCTCGGGTCCATGAAATCAGTATATTTCGGTAAGATATCATTGGTAATGGTCTAAAAATTTCTGAAAAAAATCTGCTTTAATAAAATATATTATCTGTCTATAAAATGGGACAGTGAATAAAGTTTTCTAAGATCTATAAAAGATATACGCTGTTATCACTTATTATTCGAAATAATACGATGTTCTGAGGTTAGCTACACATATCAATATGTTCAAACACGTATCCATGTGAGTTGCTTAGTAAGATGCTTAGCTGAATTGTTAAGCAAAGCAAACACTCGCATATTGTTACGAATGTAGCTGTAGAGCTAAGCAGAGATTTGATAGCAGTTTGGCTCTTTGAGAAGATTACGATATTAACATCAGGGATCTTATTGCTCTAACCGTACTCGTATTTATAGAGATTTTTAGGAGAGCAAAAATGACACAAGCATTCGTACTGAACAAATTTTAATAAAATGAAAAAATCAGATCCAATAATCCTCTAATAATCAGATCAGATAATCAGATTTGAATATTCAAATTTGAGGGTAGGAACCAAAATCCGTGCACATTTGAATGAATTCACACCACTTGTGACAATCCTAATCACAATCTATACAGGTATCAATCAATATAATGTGGAATATGTTAAACTTTTATAACAATCCCTTTAAAAAACGCCGAAACATATTTTAATAGACCTTTGGAATGAATGTCAAATTTTTGTCAACTTTATAGTGTTAACTATATTGACAGTTTTATTATTATTATTGTTGTTGTTGTTGTTGTTGTTGTTGTTGTTGTTGTTGTTGTTGTTATTGTTATTGTGATTTGAGTTAGTGTTAGTTATTAGTTAGTGTTATGTCTGGGCTTATAGTTAGTGTTATGCTTGGGGGGCTTATCCCTGCCCACACTAAGCTTTAACTATACTAGACTTATTATCGTTTAGTTATCTTTTAAATGAGGACGGATCGTAGGTCATCATATCTTCCAGTTTTATACGTAAAATGAAAGTAAAATAATAATAAAATCTTTGTTTTTATTAATTTTACGTCTGCTACAATAATTTTTGAAATTAATGCAATAATTTTCTAAATTTTGAGGCTATAACACTTACATTATTTATATTTGATTCAAATTTTATAATAAATTATGCATTATTATTTATTAAAAGTTATTATGAAATTATAATTTCAATTAATTTTTAGGTAATAACTGGGCCAAGGGTCACTACACAGAAGGCGCTGAATTAATTGATTCAGTATTGGATGTTTTACGCAAAGAGTCAGAAGGTTGCGACTGTCTGCAGGGTTTCCAACTTGCTCACTCCCTTGGTGGTGGTACCGGTTCGGGTCTTGGAACCTTATTGATTTCGAAGATACGTGAAGAGTATCCCGATAGAATAATGAACACATTTTCCGTAGTTCCTTCACCTAAGGTCAGTAACAAAACTTAATTATTCAGTAAATTATAATTTAAACAATTAATAAAATAAACAATATTTTCTAATTTTTGTTATTTACTATAAACGCTAAATTTATTTCAATTTAATTATTCAACAGAATATTTTATGATATTTTGAATTATGCATAATTAAGGCTGCTTTTTGAAGCAATTAAAGTTAATGACAATGCCAGTGCCGGTGCCGGTGCCGATGCCATTGTAGGAATAGGAAATTAACATGGCTTTGTCATTTTAATTGACCAGAAAAGCTTTTATAAGATATTTTTGGCAAAACAGAAAATTATTTCATATTTTTTGCATGTTTACATATCCAAATTATTGTTTTTACTACAAATAATTATTGTAATTCATTGCAAATAAACGCATACTCGCCCATACACAAAAGCGCAATTGTCGCTCATTGCTGATTTTATTTTTGTTGTTGTTTTTTATCGAAAAACTTCTGCCGAGTGCAACAAATGCGGCCATTTTGTAAAAATGTATGTGGCCATTTTTAACAAAATAATTCAACATATCCTGCCAATTTGTAAAATTTGGGCAACTACATTTGCTTACGCCACAATGGAGAACGCGAATGCAGAATTGTCAGTCAGTCAGGCAGGCAGGACGACATAATTATTGCAATAATTATGAAAACAATGCATGCATTTAGGCGCAACGAATTATATGAAAAATTTGCATTTTGTGTAAAATTTATGCAAAACTCCGATAATCTAAATAATTGAAATTAATTATCAACGTTCGCAACTGTATATTGTATATATAATTAAAGCGGGACGTGCGTATTTACGCTGATCGGCGCATATGTGTTTATATAGATTAATATGAATACGCGGTATTATTTAATTAAAGGCTTAAAATTAGCTTATACAAAATGAATACTAAGCAATAATTAAATAACAGAGAGAAGTCTTTATCATCTTTAATTGTTCAGAATAATTAATTTTAAATATAAGTTTGCATTTACATTCTGATAACCGACGGACAAACTTATGTGACCAAATTTAACTGCATAATGTACCGATTCCTGTGAGGTATCTTTGAATGATTTGTCTTGAAATTATAGCTCTGCATTTATTCTAGCATAAGTCAGTATAATCATGTTAAATTATAGCCTTCTCTACGCTTGTAAAATAATTAACATGGCATTGTCTCCATTCTAAAATGAAGGAAACTTACTCATTTCCATAAATGACGAGTTGTGGTCTGAAAACTATGCCACCCCCAGCTCAAATGTTTTGCTTAATTAGCTCAGCTGCAATTTAATAACATGTGTACTCGAATTATAGAGCATCAATTCAAATTTAATTATATTTTGACATTTTATTAAATTAATTTTGAACTGATTGTCATCCATGACAATGACATACTGCAAATTTTTCATCATATTCGTTCTTTTTTTTGTTTTTTCTTTATTAAATAATTATAAAGTGCGAATTATTATGCTTCATGGCTGCAAATGCGGTTATGGTTACTTTTAAATTTAATTTTACATTCGCAAATAAAATTTTAACTCTTCGGGTCTTGCATACACTCAGAAAATGTTTTTTATCATAAAAAATGTTAGTGGATTTTTAAATACATAAAAATGTAATTTAAAAAAATAAGAAAAATATATTTTTTATGAAATATTTACTTAAAACTTTCCAATAGCAAATACAAAATATAATAAATAAACAGCAAAGTTATTTTATGGCCTTGAAAATAGTAAACTTCTGTATACACTCTATATACACTCACCAACGATAAACCCAATCTGACTTATCCATATGATACACAAAGATTTAGAAATAACCTTTAGTTCTAATTGTAAACTTACTTTCATGACCTTAAAGACCCCAAAACGAGTTCCTGGTAGTGTTAAATTCAGCTTAAGAGAGAGAGAAAAGTCACATGCAGCTATATTTAGTAAATTAGTTACGAATTTGTTGACCATAATATATATAAATATTACCTTGGAGCAAAATTTAACATTTGTGTCTTCACAAATTCGGTATTCATAAAGAATATTCTATACTTAATATTCCAAGCCAAAACTTGGTAACGAGTTGTTATGAGTTGTTTTATGTGCAAATAAGTATTCTATCCTTAACATTTGATAATGCCCAGAAAATATTTTTAAGTAACTATTTAATTTTCCGGTAAAAACAAATATAACGAACCTAACCACTAGTGTCAAAGCCAGAAACCAAAGGTTTATAACATGATTACTTGTCATAGAAACAAAAGCATCACTGTGCTCTTATCACATGTATCAGTTTAGTGCACCAATACCCTATATGTTTGAATATATTTTCCTCATTGGAATAAAGTCACAGCACCCGGTTGAAAAGTACCCGGTTCCACATCGTATGAAAGTAAATAAATACAGTCATTTCACTCGGAGAATTTTTGGCATTTAACACAGTCGTTACGATAGCCGAAACTGTAGACCCTGACCCTGTGGTAACAAATTTACACCTTCGGGTGGGTGCCGTAACTGAAAGTCACTCATTACCATTTATACTTCAAATAGTATCTGGTATTGAAATATAGTCACCTCTTACGGCAAGCATGCCTTACTTAGGAAATATTCCAATTTCTTCTATGTGTGTGTGCTGAAGAACACAAAATTCCAGAGTTATTTAACGCAATTACCTGCCGTGAGGGCTTAACACCGGAGTGCTTTTACTACATGTATTA